ACAAAATATATATTGTGTGTTGGAGTGGTCCAGATGCTACAACATTGTTCATAAGAACACTGTATAGACAGTGGACTTTCCTCCACAAGATGGATTATTCTCAAATCATGCTGGATATCATGAGCATCAGGTTTACACAAACATGTGGAGCTTATGCTCTTTCCACAAAACCACAGACACACACGGGAATGCATGCAAGCATGCGTGGTTCCTCAGGCACACAGTAATCGATACAGATCAATACAGTGGATCATGACCTTACAGGGGGCTTTGTGAAGCACTTTTGTTTAATAATGCTGCCGTTTAAAGCTCTGAATACGAGCAGGATGAGTGTGAAGTGGCTCTCACCTTAGTCTGCAGGGCTGAGATGGTCTCTCTGCTGATGTCCAGCTCTTCCTGGATCTGCTGTTTCTCCTGCTGGAGTCTCAGGGCTTCCTGTCTGCTGCTGCTGGCCTCTGTCTTCACACGCTCCAGCATCCTCCTGAAGAGGACAACATGAGCCCTATTTTACCAAACTCCATTCTCCACCAGTCCGGACAACTTAATATGAGTTTCAAAGTATCAAATCACCACATCCTGCTGGAAATATGCTGGTCACCACTTTAGGTTGTTTTTGTTTTTTTCCATGGGGGCCACCAGGGATGATCTACGGGAAGCTGTATCATACCAAACCAACACTAACCAGCAAAAACCATACTGGAATTCATACTAGTTTAAAAGGTTAGTTCACCCAACGATTACAATTCTGTCATAATTTACTAACATTAAGTTGTTTCAAACACATACAGTAAGACTTTCATTCATCTTTTTGAAGTGTGGGTGGAATGGACTTTCAATGGAGGGACAGATATATCAGGTGTCATTATATCTACATTTTTGTTTTAAAGATGAATGAAAGTCTTACGGGTTTGGAACGACATGAGGGTGAGTAAATAATGACAGAATTTTCATTTTTGGGTGAACTACTCCATTGAGGTTAGTCCTTTGTAGCCAGTATAAAGTCTGGTACACTTTGCTGTTTTATTCTTGCCAAGAACTGCCAGTTTTCAGCGTAAGAGTCTGTCCTTTGTCATGCTTTAAAGAAGTACACTTATTTTAATGTGTTAACTAACATACTGAAGCAAACGTAAAGTACTTGATTATTATTGATATATTTTAATTGCAGTGTGGTATTCAGTATTACATTTAAGGTTAATAGATTTTAAATGTAATAAACTGTAACTTCATCATTACAAATATGTACTTACATATATTTAAATTTAAATACAAATTTTCAATAGAAATTACAACCAGTTAGCCAGTACATTCAGCACTACACTTTAAACATATTTAAGATCTGTATCGATTATGTATCTGTATCACAACATATCTGTTACGCTGCTGCTGCTGCAGAGCAAGTACCGAGACTTGCTACTGCCAATACATCCACAACATGCTGCTGTGAGCATGTAAGAAATATTGCTACTGCAAATAAAACATACATGAAATAACCCCCATATAGCGTACATGAATAACCTCGTAACAGATCTATACAGGTGGAGCTGGGGAAGGTGGAGGGTTTCTGAAGCAAGCTGCAACTGCTACAGCAAGCACTAGTCATATATTTGAATGTTGAGCAGCGAGCTCATTGGCTACCGATACAGGAGACAACCAATCAGCTGTGCCATGTGATGATGTCATTAGGTCAGACTGAGTTAGACCTATCGGACTGCGCCATTTAAAGTTTCATGTCAGAACTCTGTATTTCAACCAAAAATAAAAATCTGCTGAAAATGTACTCACCTCAGCCCATCCAAGATGTAGATGAGTTTATTTCTCCATCAAAAGAGATTTGGAGAAATTTACCATTACATCACTTGCTCAACAAAGGATCCTCTGCAGTGAATGGGTGCCGTCAAAATGGAGGAAGCATTATTAATGATTATGGACTTGTATTTTGCCCAGAAGCGACAGTTCCAAGTTAAATTGCCTTATTGATGGATTTGTTTGTTACAAACACGCAGCTTTTCCCTTCACAAAACATTCACTGATTGACTGGAGTCACATGGATTATTGAGATGTTTTTATCAGCTGTTTGGCTCTTATTCTGACGGTGCCCATTCACAGCAGAGGATTCATTGGTGAGCAAGTGATGCAATGCTGAACTTCACCAAATCTGTTTTGATAAGGAAATAAACTCATCTACCATAGGGTGAGTACATTTTCAGCAAATTAGATTTTTTGGGAGGACTCACAGTATATTATTTCCATAACAATTCAAGCATGCCAACAATTCTTATGTGCAATACGCATTAGATGGTCAGTGAACAGACTCTGGACCATCTGAGGCCAAATCTGGTTTAAGCTGGTCTTTTTTTAGCACGGCATGGAGTGTGGGATTTTTATTTACAGAGCAAATTGTGTATCAGGCATGAGAGAATGGGACACTTCCAGAACATCTCTCTCCAACTCGACTATAGTCAGTCAGACAGACCAGAACGCATCTTAATTGAGGCATGATAACATGCAGGAACGGTAAGCATGAGAGAGAGGTTAGATTTAATTAGAGAAGGCAAGCGTGAATATTTAATGAGCGTGGCCGAAACTAATTACGAGAGCAGGGCGGCGATGAGCTCATGCACCGTTTCAGCATGGATCAACAAATCACACCCAACTACAACAAATCAGACCCACCACAGCGTCTCAAATCACTCGCAAAAAAACTGGAAAGGCAAGAGAAAAGCTTAACGCAGCAGAAGTGAGAGTTATTGACCAACCCAAACCTTCTCGGCCTTCAGATGCAACCCAAACAAGTCAAGGACAAAAGAGGGTGTCTGGGCACCGAAGCGGGCGGTTGACTAGGTGACGTGTCACTTTTTCAGGAGGTGAAGAGTGTGGGGAGATCCTGCGAAAGCCCCACGCGTCTCTCTTACCTCTTTCTCTGCTATTGGCGAAGCGGCCACGGTAACAGCTAATCGATCGCTCGCGAAATCCCCCAGCACACCCTCGCCGGGAATGATCAATATCCCTAGCAATTAGAATCCTCTATCTGCATGGCTGCAGGGACCCCGGGGTAGATCTGTGGCCCACAAACACCCAATTTAGTCCTCAACTTACCACTTAATTACTAAATCCTCTGTAATGCGTATTGGCAGATGGGAAGTTGTGCTGAGCACCAGCGGATGGCTGACTGAACAAGAGACCTTTGGCAAGGTGATAGTTAAGATGCGCTCTCTCGTCCTCTTCCAGCCAGTTAAACATTTGTTTCACACATGGATCCAGACCCACGGTGATTCCTCCATTGAGCAGAACACTTTCTTATAGGAGGAGAGCGAGAGGTAAAAGCAGCATGCCAAGGGTCATGAAGGCAAAAACACACTCTGAGCTGTCCTGAGAATTGCAGCTTCGCTTAATAAAACTCAGCGCAGTGGACTGTGCACATGCTCAGGACACGTTATGTAAGAGCTGTTGGCTCATTTGGAACCTGTTTTGAGTCCCAATCCCATTCTCTCTCTCCCTAGCTGATGCCGCATGCAAGTCCTCCTGGGAAGCTCATAATTATGGGTTCATAGTATAATTATGTAATTATGACTGTGTGTTGTTTGGAACATAATGGTGTCCATTTACACACACAGTCACTTCATGTTTTTTTTTTATTAATCAGATACCTATCTGGTTTGATAAAACTGTTTAATTTACACCTGGCCAAATGCAGTAAATGTGTCTCCGCAAAATGAAAAAAAAAAAAATCAGTGCTGTCAAATGATTAATCGTGATTAATCGCATCCAAAATAAAAGTTTTTGTTTACATAATATTTGTGTGTGTGTATATAAATACACGCATATACAGTATATATTTTATACATGTATACATTTATATTCATATTATTTATATTATTTATATATAAATATATTTAATATATAAACAACATATTTCTCTTAAATATACAGTATGTGCATGTGTGTGTATTTATATATACATAATAAATATACACAGCACGCACACATATATTACGTAAACAAAAACTTTTATTTTGGATGCGATTAATCGCAATTAATCATTTGACAGCACTGATATAAATGTTCAGTGTTCACGTCACCAAAAGCAAAAGATATGTGCTGCATTTTAGATCATTTCAAAATCAAAGGCTGCAACAGTTGAAAGAACATCATCAGCACTGGTGAGAGAATTTAGCATTCACCCCTTTTAATAAAGACGACTGTGTTTAACTTTAAGATGTGATGCTGACTGTTGAGTTTCATTTGCATGTGCTTTCTAAAGAAAGAAGCTCATATCTGGTGCTGCGGTTGTGCTATCTGGTTACCAGAAGCTGGTGTAAGGTCAAAAATTATCAAAGATTTCTGCTTTCCTGTCCCAAACCTATCTTCAGTAACAAAAGGGCCATTTGGAATTCCTGAAGGCACAGAGGTGCTGATATCGATCAAGGCCTGTAGGCCAACATGTGTATACACCGGGGGTCTGCTAATTGTCACACCTTTTGCCCAGTGGGTGAAGTTATAATCTGCTGATTGGTCAGTTTGAATGTCTCACATTTGGTTTTTAGTCACATGGTCAAGGAAGGGATAAAAGAGGACTGTAACTGTTGCTCTGTCTCTTTTCTTGGCTGTCTCTCTTCTTGGGTCTCTGCCCTCTCTCCCTCTTTTTCTTCCTCTCTCTATCTCTTTCTCTCAGGTAATATTTTACATGTTGGGTACAATTAACTATGCTTTACCATCCTTCATCTATTTTGTAACCAATTCAAGTGTAACCATAACAAAATATTGTTATTAAACCATTTCAATTATTAATTATGTGCTAACTAGTCTTGATTCAAGGTTCATCTTAAAGTGCTACCTATTGCAATACAATAGCAACGCTCTCCCACATATTTAGCTATTCTAACTGCGCTTATTTCCGTCGTTGGTATAAGTGGCAGTGGGTGGTAATAGACTAGAAATGTACAGTTTTATACCATCGTGCTGATAACGTTTCTTTAGTCATTCGGCAATCCTACAGCCTGAACCACCGTAGGAAAACCATCCTTACACTGGTATAACACTCTTTCACACCTTCATTTTTGTTGCCATTTTGGAATGAGTAAAATTTAGATATATGACTTTTTTCAGTTTTGGGAAGAGTAGAATTCACATATGTGGCTTCAACAACCAAGGCATTCATACAGTTGCATCTGGGATGATTTGTGCCATCGCATTGCAAACTGAGCATTTTTTTCATGCCCAGTTTGCAATGCATTTTGAAGGGCAATGCAGCTGAATGCATTTTGAAGGGCATTTACACCTTTACGCGATCAAATAGCTTTTATTCAAAGTAATTGCATGAAGTGAGACTAACTAGATTATGTTATTGGTTATTGTCAGTGCATCATGGGAGAAGAGGGTCGCTAAAGAGTTCTTAGGCACAATTTGCTTATCATCATTCTCTGATTGGCAGAAATTTCGGGTAACACTTTAGTATAGGGACCAATTAAAACTATTAACTAGTTGCTTATTAGCTTGCCTATTATTAACATAGTCTGTTTATTAATACTTATAAAGCACATATTCTGGATGACCGCATTCTACATCCCTAATTCTACCCAATACCTTAACAACAACCTTACGATTAATAAGCAGCAAATTAGGAGTTTATTGAGGCAAAAGTCATAGTAAATGGTTTGTTAATGGCAAGAATTGGACCTTAAAATGAAGAGACCGAAATTTCTTTACAAAACAATGAGCAATGTAGTTTCTCACCAGTAATCCTACTGTTAAACCTGACTATTCAAAAAATAATTTGAAATAATATGCACCGATGATTAACAACACAGTAGCTCACAGTAGGTCTGTCTGTAAAGGTTTCTAAGTTAGTGTTAAAAATCAATTCCTCTATGGAGAAAATGAATAGAATATTTTTACTTTCGGAACCCGACCGGTGCACTCTATTATCATTCTGCTGTCATCATGGGAGATGTAGTTTTAAATTATTACCTTCATTTTAAAATTACTAAATTATTTTCTGCAGTAATCGACAGCTGCCATCCAGCTTAAGCTGTATTTAACCTGAAATATGCCTACAATAGACCTGCCCCAAACTCAGAAAGTCAGGGCTCAAGGAAAATCCAGAGTTTCCCACTGGTAATGCTGGCATTGTGGTGGCGTTCATGTGCGCTCATCTGGTAAATATGATCATTCAGACATGACCTGAAGGCAGTATAAAGCTGAGAAATTTGGATTAATCGGCTCATAGCTTCACTAGTAGCCTTAATATGAGTGTGATATGAGAGTGTCATCCTGTGGAACTGAGTTTGGAAAGCTGTCTGCTATACTATGCTGTCCAACTAATCACTCAAACTGCATTCAAGCACACTGGAAAACAGTCAATGCTGAGAAAGTAAGCAACATGCACGCTGCCATTTTTGCTCACAGGTATTTAATTCTGGACACTTAAGCATTTTTGAGCCAATAATTTGAGTTGCAATTTCCATGTGACTAATCACATTGATTTCACAGGGAAATTATGTGTTGAGCTGTGACGTCAATTATAATAAAATACTGCTATGATTGTATTTTGCTGCAAACAGTTTGGCCAGAACACATGGTTACTTATGAATGGCCATCCATTTTTCCCAAATAATTGTGTAGTTGTGAAATCTACCAGCAGGGGCTAACTGGACCATGCTGATTCCCTGGCTTTGGGTTTACCGTGAGTCCTGGAGCTCCAGTTGGGTGCTTTCCAGACTCTCTGTTATTCTCTTGAGCTCTGCCTGAAGACTCCTCTGGGCTTTCTCTGCCTGCATCACCTCCGTCACACGCTCTGAGAGCTGCTCCTGAGCCAGACGCTGACCTCTCTCCAACAGCTGCTCTTTCTCCTGCTGCTCCTGGGCTGAAACATACACACATTTAGAACATAATATCTGTGATTTCACTTCAAAAGTGTCAGAGTTTTGGATATGATTAATAATATATGCACTACCGATCAAATGTTTGGGGTATTTGTGTGTATATATATATATATTTAAGCATGTTATGTTATATGGGCTACAACATATAATGACTTAGACTTAATGAAGGTTTGCACACACACATCTATATATACACACCTTTTTATACCCAATCATGTTGCCAGTTGACCTAATAAGTTGCAAATTGGTCTTCCAGCTGTTCCTTATATGTACATTTAATTTTTCCGGCCTCTTATTGCTACCTGTCCCAACTTTTTTGGAATGTGTAGCTCTCATGAAATCCAAAATGAGCCAATATTTGGCATGACATTTCAAAATGTCTCACTTTCAACATTTGATATGTTATCTATATTCTATTGTGAATAAAATATAAGTTTATGAGATTTGTAAATTATTCCATTCCTTTTTTACTCACAATTTGTACAGTGTCCCAACTTTTTTGGAATTGGGTTTGTACACACACACACACACACGTGTATGTGTGTGTGTGCAAATCTTAAAAGTCTAAGTCATTATATGTTGTAGACCATATAAAATTACATGCTAAATCCCTTTTTAAGGTATACCATGGCCACATCTGCCTGTCTTCATCTACGTTGAGGATATTGTTTCTAATGAGCATCATTCCCACAGTGTGTGAAGATGTGCATGTATCTGATGGCTTGAGGCTCTGAATTGATGGGCTGTTTCATTTCAGACCGGAGACTCAGACTGCTGAAGAACACAAACAGGCGCACACACATATTCTGACAAACCCACACACTCTATCACACAGATTTAAATGCAATTGCTTTTCTTTTGCGAAATCAAGAGAAAATCACTGCCTTGCTGAAAATGACCAAATTAGACCAGCATTAATTTCCATGGTTTGTTCTCATGGGTCAAGCAAGCACATCTGAGCTTCCGTTAACCATATTTGATGGTAAACCGAAGAAACAAGCTTTCTCTGAACCAAAATTGCTCAAATTTTTTGAGCCATTTTAACAAAGACTTTTAATCAGTTTGCCCCAAGCTTGTTTGTAATGAATGTGTCCTATCAGAACAAGCACAGGTGTAGTTTAGTGAGACGGTTGACCCTGAGTGGTCAGCTAAATATCTACAGTGGATCTAAAATATGAATAGTTAATTATAACTAGTTATGGTTAATTATTCATATTTTCCATGAGCTGATTTGCTACAACATTTTAAAATACTCATAATCAGACTACAGTTCCATTTCTATCGACACCATGATTATATATTATTTACACAATGGCAGTGAATTGTTCTTAATTTATTTATTATCCCTTTGTTTATATTTTAAGTTTTCTTTTCTAAAAAAGCTTTTATTTTATTTTAATTGTACATTTTTATGATTTAATTAATTCTCAGATTTTCATAAAATTATGAACCCCCTGCAGTACCTTCAAGAAGCACTCTTTGGGAAACCTTGACTAAATGTTTAATGCACTTCATGTTGTTGATAACAAAAAATTGGATATAATTTCTTCAATTTTGTAATTTAATATCAATATGATATAAGATTATCCTATTCAAATGAATGTGATAAAACAAGTTAGGTCAAAAGTAATCTAAAAGTAAACAAAAAGTGGTCCGATTATATTACTTAAAATGTCTCGTGTAATAGATCACATTAATAACTACAATTTTTGTCATGTAATTTGTTATCATTAACTGACTACAATTTCTAAGTAATCTACCCAGTACAGAGTGTGGCTTAGGTGTCCAAATACTTCTTGGGGCCATTTGCAGTTTCATCCAATAATCTAAGAGTTTTTTCAAATTTCTTTATAATTATTCACAGCATGGCAATCCACCATGAAAGTTCTACAGGTGTTCTGCTCTGTGTTACCCGTGTCTCTGCAGGTGGCGTGAGCCTCCTTCAGTTGTTCTCTGAGCTGAAGCATCTGTGTTTTGAGTGAGGCACACTCTTTCTCCCTCTGCCTTTTCTCTTTCTTGGCTCTCTGCAGATCAGCCTCCAGCCCTCGAGCAGAGATGGCCTGCCTCTCTGCCTCCACCGCCTTGCTTCGGATCTTCTCCCATGCCTGCAGAAGATCAGCCTCGGACTGTCTCAGTAGGGCGTCTCTCTTCTGGATAGCCTGTGAGAATCCGCCACAGGCAAAACTAATCTGCTCTGTACACATACAGTGTGTGTACTTGTTTACCTGGTCACACTGCCTTTGAGCTACTTGTAGCTCTCCTTCTAGACTGGCTACCTTCTGTTCCAGAGAATAAATGTGTGCTCGTCTTCGGCCCTCATTCGCTGCATCCGCCTGGAGCTTCCTCACCTGCTCCTGCAGCCGTTGCACCTCTGCAAAACACACGGCTGATTGGAATCAGTGTGAGAATCGAGTCAGAAAGTGAGCTGCGAGTTCACTCACCTGCTGTACTGGCATCTCGGTGCCATGCCAACTCCAGCTGGCAGACCCGCAACTCCTGGGCGCTCTGACCGCAGCGTTCCAGCGCCTAAGGACAAACACACACACACCTCCACTAACATGCAAAGTCATCACACAGCTGTCAAACTTCTGTGACTGTGCCTTGGGGAAGTCGTGTTGATGCCCGGGGCGCTGGAGGGGCCGACCTAAGGTGGATAAGAATTCCCCCTCTTCCCTGAGCTGTCTCCATCCCTAAGGCTATCGCTACACCCGTTGCTTCCGCTCGCCTCTTCGACTCCGTTCCTCTCCCGTATGGCCTTCATTTAGAATCCCCACTGCGGCATGTACATATACATCTGCTGAGGTTTCGATGCAAGGCAAATACCCGGTTTGTCCCTGACAGGTGTCGCCTCCAATCTGGCAGCCTGTGCTTTTGACGGGCTAACCATTCAATTAAGTATCTGGGATGCTCTACGTATGGGTGCCATCTCTTAATTACCCTGGGAACCGGGTTGCACTCGCACGTCACGGCTTTGACAGGTGAACCGGCGTGTCATGGCTCTCGACGCCGCGTTCTGTCTGCTGCATGCAAACGGGACAGGTTTTAGCGAGATTTGATTGTGAAACTAATATAGTACAGGCATAATCAGCAAACACAGGCAAGGTTGGGGGCCCCTTCGTTTGGCACCATTAAAATAACGAGGTGTCACGAGGCGCTGGGACTCGCCGCTCCAACGCCAACACGTGTCAAGACAAATCTATATTTCATGGCCACTTACAGATGTATAAATAGCCAAATGAGGTGCTCGAATCATCTATAAAACCCTGCTAAAAGGTTGCCAGAAGATGGCGGGCACTGTCAGTGGGACAGAAGGGTAATCAATCTGAGAAGGGGGAGCGGGTGGGCAGTGGCGCGAGGAGGGCACTAAATCACGCCGCCGTTTGCGTAGAGCGCGACGAAAAGCTGACACTTCGGCTGATGCGCGAGCTCCCTGACAGCCTGATGGATCGCTCCACTACACTCCATTAAAGCTGGATGGCTCGCTGCCACGCTGACATAACAAACAATTAGTCACAAAGGTGCCCATGAACTTGCACGAAGCCTCTCCGGATTCAATCAAAGCCTCCGCTCATGACTGATAAATAGTCCCCGAGTTGCAGGGTGTCAATGCATACAGTAACGTACGAGACAGGTCCATTTAAAGCCCATTTTTGTAACAGGCAGAGATGATGGATCCATGCAGATGTGAGAGTAGCATGTGGTGTTTCTCTCAACTACAAGACAAACACTGATAGCCCTTCACTCACATGCTCCAGTTCCTGAACACGGGACAGCTGGGATTCGTAGTCTGAGTCGGAGTGAACGTGAGTGGCCTGGTTGATGGAGAAATCAGCCTGTGTCTTCACTGCCATCTCTTCTTGCTCTTCAGCCTTGAAAACACACAAGGTTTTTTCGATTTACAATGATGTTGATTGTTTACACAATCAAACTTGGGGGCAATAAATATGAAAATTGTTTTTCTGCTATTATATGGCCGCTAGAAACACCATGGACATTGGTTTTGTTCCTAGGGAACACATTTACTAAAAAATATATCTTGAATAACCTCAAAGCCTAGTAGTGCCGACTTACTTGCTTTTTAATTAAGACTACTGAATATTAATTAGGTGACAAATGATTTATCACCTAATTAATCTTCATAAGCCAGGATGATGCAGTTTATTATGTGCCCCGCACTTTTCTGATTTCTCTTATGCCCCTGGAAATATCTCTTAAAAATTGTTATAAAACAGGGAAATAAGTTGTAATCTAGAGAGAAAGAGTGGGTAGGCATTATTCTGAACTGTAAAGCAGCATATAAAACCATAACCATAGGTCTCTATTTTCCTCTCTTCAGCCATTAAGGTCTGATAACAGGCCCTAATGACAGCTAAGTTCTTCCTTCTGAGAAAGATAAATCAGTCAAGCACAGCGCCGTCAGAACTGAAGACTGAATATAAAACAGTTCCAAATGGGCTCGGGCTTAATGAAGACAATATTTCATTATGTAACACTGTCTGTTACTGTTGTTCTGAGAAACACATAAAACAACAAGCTAGGATAAGCAAGGAAGGTTATATAGCACAGATCATACTGGCAATTTCTAGTGCCTTACAAAGGCACACTATAAACAAGAAATACACGAAATATAGACATCTGAATAAAATAATTTAAGATCTTAAGTTAATTTTAATGCAATTTGAATGAACGAACGAACGAATGAAAATGACATGAAGGAAAAAAACAAAACAAAAAACGTAAAACCCAATGGAGTGTTTAAAGCAAAAGTTCATCCAGAAATGAAAATACTGTCACCATTTACTCACCCTCATGTCATTTAAACCTGTATGACTTTCTTTCTTCTGTGGAACATAAAAGAAGATATTTTGAGAAGTATCACTGTGTTTTTTTTTTGTCCATACAATAGAAGTCAATGGTATCTGTTCGGTTACCAACATTCTTCGAAATATCTTCTTTTGTGTTCTGCAAAAGAAAAAAGTAGCATGAGAAAAGCAGTTATGCCCAATTTATGAATGAAATGTTAATTTGAGTACAATGATTTGTTAGATTTAGTATACAAAACCGATCTGATTGATTCGTTTAGAAATCAGACTGATTCAGTTCCTCAGTTGACTCAAGGAGCAGATAACAGTCCACTGGAGTGGAACATTATCAATGAATAATGACTAAAATCTCCCATAAAGCTATTATATTAATTCAGAAGTCGCACAGACTTTACTTTTATGTTGCATTTGCACTTTCTTGAATCTTGAAAGCATCAGTCCCAGTTTATAATTCTATGGAAAGAGAAACCTGCACATTCAACACACAGAAGATTCAAATTCATACAGGTTTGATTTGACATGAAGGTGAGTAAATGACAAATATTTCATGTTCGAGTGATCTAACTCAAAATAGCTGTATCAAGCCCCTGGTCCAGCTGAGGATCATCTCAGAGAGTCTTATAAAGCAGTCTGTCTACAAGTAAATAACAGCTGACAGCTTCCACTGAGAATGAAGACAGTGAGGCGACTGACTGACGTGATTGTTTTGCATCACAATCACAGATAAAGAAAACTTTCCTTTTCACTCTGTTGAAGGTTATGTGCTACAATGCCGACAGCCCAGCAGGTTCTGAGTGAGCGGGAGCAATTAAGGGGAGGAGACATGGGTGAACGGCTGAAGGACGTGTGTTCGGAGGTCCTGACTGAAAACAGTTGGATCAATATAGCATGTATGAGTGTGATGTTTAGGGATTGCTAATGGGACGCTGGGCATCACATGCATCTGAGAGGAGAAGCCGGAGGTGCTGGAGGAGAAAAAGGCTCAGGAAGGTCCTCACACCTAGTGTGCATAGTATCTGACAGAGGTGACCGCACTGCTGGGCTGTAGACAAGGCCTGTCCCTCCACCGCTGAAAGCAATGCCCATTATTTCAAGCAGACACCGCAGACCCAGCAGGCTTTTCCACTTTACGCCCCCCAGCCGCCCTCATGGTGAATGTACACACAAATCAAAACAACTTCAGGTCCATTTAAACACCAGTCGCTGTGTCTGAAAGAGCCACACATGCAATCTTTACCCAACAACTACAAATCAATAGCAACTTCAACTCCCAGAATTCCTCAAGAGAGCCTATCGCAGCTTTCTCGCTGATGCTGTGGGAAATGAAACACCTGGAAATGCTCTCTCCTCACATAGCGAGCAGCGTTAGGGTTTTGACCTGGATCGATACAATCCGGTAAGAACTCTGAAGCTCAGATTGGCTTTTGCACCCGGAGAATGGCGTAGATTCGCTTCCCCATTGTGTTCACACCTCAAGCTGCACTAACAAGCCACTTTCCACCTGTATGTGCAGTAACTAGGTTTCAATTGGCTTGATATGCAATCTGAACCCAACCGAATTCAACTCTAGGGAAGAGATGAGCATGTTAAGTCTGTTGCATTATGGGGTGTTCATAGTTCAGATCTGCAGCCTTTCTCATACTCAATTTAATAGTTCACAGGTGTGAATATACAGTGGTTTCTCAGAAGCAAGACAACTTTTCTGAATCAATATCTCTGGAGTAATATTCCTGGGTCAGTGGGATGGTGCTCATTGTTTTGATGGATCTAATAACTTTTTTTTCTTTCAAAGACACATTAAAAATGCAATTCATACATGCAATGAATGGTGTATATACCTCTTCTATGAGGAGCGTGGAGACATAAAGCAAAACGTCAGGGTGATACAACTCTCCTGATATCATAATAAAAAAATACAAATAAAATAAAGAAATTATTAGTATGAAACTATGAAGAAATACATTTTAACAAAAATTGTGTTACAGCTTTTTAATATTTGAAAAAAAAACTTGTCTTAAAGTCATGTGATGAATATTTATGAAATAAAAACAAATAAATGCTATTGTGTGATAAAAATATCTTTTAACTTTCATTTTTTCTTTAAAAATAAATAAATAAATATGAAAACATCCCCATTACTAATATCAATATTGTTCAAAGCTTAAAAAATGAAGTATATAGTAAAGTCAGGGTAATAATATCATATTTGTAAATACCTTTTCTCTTTTTTTTATTAAAGATTAAAAAAGGTAACATTCAATATTACAACATATACAACACATAATATATACACTTAATATCACAATTTATTTATTTGTTTGTTTGTTTATTTAAATATTGATGATGATGTTGATCTTGTTTGAGCATATCGATAATAAAAATGCTTTCATTGAACATCTTATTCATCATTGACCAATCAACCAATCAGATTCCTTTAATTCCCTTTGAGTTTAGTGATTCGGAATGGTTAGGAGTAGAGGTAGGGTTGGGACCTAATTTGTTTGACAGGAATGACCAAGATGTGTGATCCTACTTGGGTCACCATGAAGGAACACATGCAGCTAATCAAGCTGTGGGTTAGCTAGTGTCAGGTTACCTGTCGGCGAAGGGTAGCAGCGGTGTCTCTGAGAGTGCTGATGAGCAGCTCACACTCACGGCTGTGTTTACAGCTGTGCTCCAGCTCTCCCAGCGTGTCTCGGAGCTGTTGGCTCAGAGCGGCGAGGGCATCGTCTCCACTCTCCAGCTGGGTGCAGTGTACCTGCAGATCCCCCTGCAGAGCTACAACCTGAGCCCTCAGACGGAGGACCTGCTCTTCCCTCTGTGCCACCTGACGAGACACAAACAACATCAGCCAAAAACATATCAGGACCACTACTGATGTCTGCTCTCAGTCATTTAATATTCAACTTTATAGTTTCAGTTTAGCTCAAAAAAATAGGGTTATTAGGGATCTGTTTTTATAAACCAAGTCTATTTGGTATTTGCTGCACTGTAAGAAAAGTTTAACTTTCAAAAATGGTATATTTAACAGTATTTTACTGTAAAAATACATTAAATGTATGGTTAGATCTATTACAGTTATTCACTGTATTTACAGTAGTAAGGAAACTTACTGTTAACCAATGAACAGGTTTTTACCGTAGCGTTTTTACTGTTAAAATCATGATAATTTTTTACAATGTGACACTGATACAATACCTGTATTTATAGTAATGCTATTATTTTCGAGTACAGTACAGTAAAACTGATGCTTTGATGATTTTCTTCATTTGGTTAATTGTATGCACGCTACCACTCAAAAGTCTGGGTTCGGTACGATTTTTTTAACATGAAAGAAGTCTCTTATGCTCACCAAAGTTGCATTTCTTTCATAAAAAATACAGTAAAAACAATTTAAAGTAATTGTTTTGTATTTGAATACATTTTTAAATGTACTTTATTCCTGCGGTGAAAAGCTGAAATTTCAGCATCATTACTCCAGTCTTCAGCGCTGATGATGATTTGACGCTCAAAAATATTTCGTAATATCATAAATGGTGAAAACAGTTGTGCTGCTTAATATTTTTGTGGAAACTGATACGTTTTTTCAGGATTCGTTGATGAACTGAAAGTTCACAAGTACAGCATTTATTTGAAGCCTTCTTTAACCATATAAATGTCTCTAATGTCACTTTTGATCAATTTATTGCTGAACGAAAATATGAATTTCTGAAGAAAAATGCATTTCTAATTTCTGGTACACTGGAAGGTATTGGCTTAGAGGAGAAGTACAACTACTTAGCACTTTATTGTGATACCTTTTCAAAACAATGATCATCTTATGGCCGATTATTAAAAACATGGTGAATATTTTATTACACAATACAAAACAAACAGATATTCTGTTGGAAAGCGGAAAGAATAAGGATTAATATTATAAGAAATACAGTCAAAACCAGTATACTCTGCGCCCCTACAGCTGCAAAGCAGGTTTAATTTTTACCAACCTGACTGTGGGCCTCTTTCAGGTCCTCCTCGCGGCCATGCAGTGTGTTCTCTAGTTGTGCGATCTTGCTGAGGCAGGCCTGGTACTTGTGTTTGCAGAGCTCGAGGGATTCTCTAAGAGGTTGCAGTCGGGCCTTTGCGTCTGTGGCCAGTTTCTCAGCCTCCAGTAGACCTGCCTTCAGCTCAATCAACTCTGCATCCTGACTGCGGAGAGCTGCCGCCCTGCAGGAGGCCTGGCACACACAAACACTTATATATAGAAGCAGAAGTTGTGATTTTAGTGAAAGTGAAGTCTGCTGAGCTGTCTCACCTCATCCTCCGTGTCTCTCTGCTGTCTGTGGGCTGTCTCCAGCTCTCGGCACAGACTCTCCAGGTTATCTCTGTGCTGCTGCAGATGACTTTGTGTGCTCTGCAGCTCTTCCTTAAGGGCCTGCACCTCCTTCACCCGGCTCTCATTCTGTTCCTCCGCCTCCTCAGCCTCCTGTTGCCATCGCTGCACCTCCTCACGCAGATCACACAGCTCCTCCTTTTGGACTTCACACTGACACACAACAAACAACAAAGCTGAGCGATAAACAGAATGTGTTTCAACACCTAGTTTGCTTGATGGTGTGAGAAAAAAACCTATTAATTTTTTGGACACCATAAGTGTGATGAAATGTTCAAATCAACTGAACAGCCCAGGGTTATTATATTTAACTCAAACTGAAAATAAATAAATAAAATGACTATACACTTTGAATATAATTTAAATGAGAACAGAAAATATAATTCAAAATTTAAATAAAAATATATTATAATAAACACTGTACAGACATATTAAAATAAATAAATAAATAAATAACAAAAACACAAGAAAATGACTAAAACTTTAACTATAAATAAAATGAAAACAGAAAATATAATTCAAACTATTAACTATGACTTTGCCTCAATAAACTCCCAATTTATGTTCAAACACCATGTAAAAGTGAATTTTGCATAATAGGTGGCCTTTAAATATAGGCAGCACAACATTATGATGTGCAGTATGAAAAATGGTTATTCATTTTCTAAAGATTATATTTCACAGGGTTATTAAATTATTAATGTTTTTAAAGATTGATTTTAAGTAGGCTAGAAGGTGATCTAAATGTAAAAATAGGGAAAATGTGCAGCACAATTAAATATTGAGCGGACATATAGTATAAACAGTATAAAATATCATCCGATATTGATAACTTCTAAAAATCTCTAATGCCTACAAATAACTGATGGAATGGTAATTTATGGCAAAATCTATAAATCTGAGCCAAAACAACTGAATCAATACATGTTCATCTGTTCTGGCACAGTGAATTCCATTGTAAAGCGCTGGGACTTCAACACCACCAGGTTCATATTCAAGTGTTTTATAAGAACAGGAAAGCATGAGGCAGGCCTATTTGAATGAAGGAGTAATATTTAATTTTTGTAAATTATTAATTCACAAACTACACTAGTCGATTGTCTTGTTTGCTTCCAAACTGTGCAATAGAAATGCTGTTTTCATTTCCATGTTACATGAGTGGAATGCAATGAATGTTTCTAAAGCTTTAATGACACAATTAAATAACTATATATAATGCAGAATATAATGTATATTAGGGCAAATATTTACTGATTACATACTGTACTGATTCAGTGACAGTGTGATAACTACTGTGTCTAACACAATTCTGTATATTTAGCAAAGCAGAATTATGAGTAATTTCTAAGGAAGTTTAGTCATTTGAGGCCACAAATAAGTTCTGTGAAATCCTGGGACAGGGTGACAGGTGACATGCAAAGCTGGATGCTTTGGCTTCTTTTGGAACTATTTTTATTAGCAAAAAATAAATATACAAACCTGGCAAATATTGTTGGTAAGTTACTTCTAATTTCTAGTTCACAGAACTATTGTATAAACACAATATCACACTTACAATTAACTACCCGTGTGCTCGTATCATAGCCATGCTGATATTCAGTAAAACGTCGCTCTTAATTAGTACACTTCAAATACAGCTCATTTAGTTAGAATTTAGAGTCACAAGCATCCTATTATTACTCTATATTTACAGACTCACATGGCTGGCATATATAATGAATGCTAGAGATTCTCAGACAGAAATCAGCGAAGCCTGTTTGCTCCCTGAAGCGTGTCTGTGGTGCCTCACTGATAGCAGCTCTAAATTAGATTATTAGACTCCAGAGAGAGACGACCCCAGATTGGATAATATTATTTTTTCCCCTGGCTGATGATGCATTACAAAAATAAGGAGCACTGTAACAGATGTCTTGCAGGGTGAAAATAATAAATCACACAGACTACTGCGCACACACACATGCGGTATATTAGTTCTGTGAGTTAACTTGCGTGATTTATTGGGCTTGGTGAAGGCCCTGGATGGAGTCTCCTCAGTGCACCTAACTTCCCTTGCAAGCATCATTAAGACTACACCGCTAATTGTGTTGTTTTAAAAGAGTGGAAGCTGATAATGACTCCATTAGTGATTCACCTACGCTTCTGTTTTCTTGGAATCGAGCCGGGAGGAGCAACATGGACATGCACGTGGGAAAACCGCTGACAGATGAATGGGATAAATGAAGCAAGCAAGCAGAGAGAAGGAGAGAATATAAAAGTTCCTTAAGTTGATGTAAACTAGTAAAAGGTGATAAAGGCAAGGCGAGGCTTGACAACCACAAGACAAATGTGGACATTTGAGACTTTTTGAGGCTGTCTGATTGGTCAACTAAATTGATTTACACTGCAGTTGTGGAACAAAAAAAGCGCATTGATGCAGACTTTTTAAATGAGTCAAAGTTATGGCATATAGATGAAAAAACAGGAATCACAATCGTAGAAAACTGTACAGTTAAAAGGTGGTTCTTATTTATTATTATTATTATTATTTGCTGGCTAATAAAACATTTTGGGATCAGTTTGAACATAATTCCAAATATAAAGTTAATCATGAGACAATGGAACTTCTATAAGGTTTTCATTTAGTCAGCCTGGCAATGAATTCTAAATAAACAAATAAATAAATAATGTATAATACTATTCTTCTTATTACTCTTCTTATATATTAAGAGTCTACTTTACATTATTATTATTATTATTATTATTATTATTTATTAATTCATGCAACATCAACAACAATAATAATAATGTATTATATTATTACTATTATTATATCAATATTCTACTTTTCATGAATAATTATTATATTATATTATATTATATTATATATATTATTAATGTAATGTAGACTCTTTATGCTTGATTACAGATTTCTGTATCACTGTATAGTTGACTTCCTATCCCATTATTCCTATAATAATAATGATGATAATGACGATGATGATAATTGTTATTAATAATTCAAACAACATTATTAATAATATTATTAATATTATCATTCTATAAAGACAAATTCTTTTCATGAATAATAATAACAATAATCAGTAATACTTATTATATATATATATATATATATAATAATGAAATGTAAACTCTTTATGCTTGGTTATAGATCACTGTATAGTTGACTTTCTATCCCATTATTCCAATAATAATAATAATAATAATAATAATAATAATGCATTATTATAATTCTATAAAGAGTCTACTATTCGTGAATAATAATAATAATAATAACAATCAGTAATAATTATTATATTATACTATAAAATGTACTCTTTATGCTTGACTATAGATTTCTGTATTACTGTATAGTTGACTTCATATTATATTGTTGCAATTTTTGAGACAGATGAATGAAGCTTTTAGAAAAGCTGGCAAATATAGAAATTAATAGGAGTTTTGAAAAATGAGATGAAGACTCTATTTTTCTATCAGTAGCCTAAAATATGTTTTATTCTACGTGGAGTTGGTTGCCTAATCTGGGCAGACATGTTCACATTACCAGCTATCTACCACCAATTCTACTGGCTTTATCTCTGTACGTCCTCCTTTGGACACTTTCTCATACAGAATAAATCAACAATGGCTGACTGTGAATACTGCATGTCTACATCAATGGCATCAGCAACTGAAAACTTTCACATGATATTGCATCCACACCTCTAGGTGTCAGTATATGTCCAAGATGACATATGGGCCAAAGCAACATAAACAAAAAATTACTCCACGCACCTTGATGAGTCCTTGGAAGGAGTTGACAGCAGTGTGTCGCGTGGCAGCATTACAGCATGAATCAGTGCAAAGCTCAGTCTAATTTTCTAAGTCCCTATTTCAGTCGCAAACTCATCACACAGACAACAGCCTGTGGCTATTTCAGATGAGACAGAGACGGAGACAGAGAGAGAGGAGGGTAGACACACTTTTTATGGAGCTCTCTCGCTCTTTTCCACCGCTGATTAATTTCACTCTAGATCGGTTGGCCAGCAGTGTTATTAGCATAAAATTTCCATGGATCAGGCCCTGCAATAAAACCTTGTCATCAAGTCACTTGTCAAACACACAATTTCAAATCTCATTTAGTTTCTAATATCATTTTCATACCAGGTGGAGGGGTGCAGAGAGAGGTGGAGGGCTAGAACAGAGACAGGAATGTGTTATGTAAAGGATAAACGGAGTCATCGATCAAAATTAAAAAAGCTGAGATGAGCTTCATGATTAGAAATTCTACGGCTCAGCATCAAGTGTTTATCAGGTAAAGCAGACAGCAGGAGGTTGAGAAGCACTGGATCTTCTAGAGGGCTTCAAGTGTTATTCAAGCAGTCAGCGTTTGCTATAACAATCATCTACTAAATAAAGGTGCTTCAAAAGGTTCTTCACAGCGATGCCATAGAAGAACCATTTTTGGTTCCACAAAGAACCATTCAGTCAAAGGTTCTTTACAGAACCATCTCTTTCTTACCTTTTTATAATCTGAAGAACCTTTTTTCACCACAAAGAACCTTTTGTGAAACAGAAAGGTTCTTCAGATGTTCTTTATGGAACCATTTAGACAAAAAGGTTCTTCTATGGCATCGTGAAGCACCTTTATTTTTAAGAGTGTACAATAATCTAATGCCACCGTGAAAGAAAATACATTTTCACATTTTGTAAATAAAATCAGTGTTGTCTGATGTGCAAAACTAGCCAACATAACACTAAAGGCCTGTTCACACCAAAGACAATAACTATGACTATAAAATTTGTTCTAATGATCGTTGTAATTCTATGAGAACAGCGATACAGAGAAACAATATCATTAGTATCACTATCAGAAAGATTCTTTTTCCAGCTGATGGATGATAAAAAACATTATCAGCCAATCAGAATCCACCTGACTTTAAAAACCTTGAGCATTTAATGCAACAGACGACATAAATTCAGTGTGCACAATGTTACTGTACATTGGCGTGGATGCTAATATAGTTATTGGTTATATTTAGAGTTTTATATTTTAGAGTTTTTGTTCTTGGTGTGAATGGGACTTAAGCTTTTGTTGGTGGTTGATGTGTATTTGCTGAGGTGTTTCTGAGCACATGCTAGGTGTTTTCTGGGTAGTGTCTAGGGGGCCGTTTACACGAAAACGTTTTCAGCCAAAACGGGAAACATTTAATGCATCTTGCCTGTTCTTTTACATGACGACAGCGTTTTGGGGACTGAAAACACATTTTTGAAAACAGGTTTCAAAGTGCACGTTTTTGAAAACGCCACCGTTATCGTTTCCGTGTAAACACCCAATATGGGAAACTTTGAAAACGGTGACATCATGCGCGTGTGTAGTACGTGTTAGGTATGTAGGCATGCGCAGTACGTGTCGATTTTAAAGGCAGGCGTGAACAAACATGCACAACAATGGCGGAGTACATGGTACTGTTGTTGCTGCTCAAGAGTTTGCTAACACTTCTTCAGGAAAGTGTGGATTTACTTCACCAATATTACAACCAACAGAGGAGACGCATGTTATACAACATATAATCGTCACTTCCCTACAGGTACTGTTTACTAACAAGGTGACAGCGCCAACTACTGGCCTGGCATACGTAATACAGCGTTTTTGGCCGTTTTCGTGGATATGTGTAAACGCTAATCGTTTTGAAAACGTTGTCGTGTATACTGAAACTTTTTAAAAACGCAAGGGAAAAACTTTTCCGTTTTTGACTACATCATTGTCGTGTAAACGTAACCTAGGTCAGATTTTGTTGATGAAAAGTTAATAATTAACTATACTGAATGTAAAATTTAAATAAATGAACGTGGCTGCATGAAACAATCAGTCTCAGAGAAGCTTGGTTTGCAGTGAACACTTGTGCTTGAGTTTAACATGCATTTTTGAATGCAACATGCGTTAAGTTTACTTTATTTACATATTTGCATAATATCCAACATTTTTGTGGGCAGAAAATTACAGCATTTCAGCAATATTTCACCAAAATAAAAGCACAAGGATTTGAATTTTTTTTATTTATTTTACAGTACAATTATAATTTACAATAGTAATATATTTCTGTTCATTTTTATAATTTGAGTTAATATATTAATATAAACACAAAACAAAACAAAACACACACAAAAAATATTGTATTGCTTTGTTTAATGTATTTAGGACCTATTCTGTTGGAAAATGCAACTAATACATAGTACACAATCATAAAGTGGCTGCCACTACAACAGTCTTTCAGATGCTGTAATATAAGTCAAGAACACGTGCATCATACATTTTTCTATATGAAAACTAAAACATTTCAATAAAACACACACACACACAGGTTTGTTTTTATGGTTTATGGGGACTCTCCATAGGCGTAATGGTTTTTATACTGTACCAACCGTATTTCTATTGCCGTACACCAACCCTACCCCTAAACCTACCCCTCACAGGAAACTTTCTGCATTTTTAGATTTTCAAAAAAACTAATTCTGAATTATTTATAAGCCTTTTGAATTACGGGGACACTGAAAATGTCTTCATAAATCACAATCCCGTTGTAATACCTATATCATACCCATGTTATTATACAAATTTGTGTCCTCATAAACCCCATAAACATGCACACACACACACACACACACACACACACACACACACACACCTAAAGCCAAGCTGAAGGCACAGGCAGTAATTATGAAAAATAACACTGGTTTGGAGAGAGTAGAGTGTGGGGGTGGATGGGGGGGTGTGATGGGCTGTTTCATTTTTATAAGGACAGAGAATCAATGCAATTTAATCAATCTTCCCTAATTAAAAAAAAATCTATATTGTGAAACAATCAAGGTGCATAAACAAGATTAAAATAAATGAAGGAACTGTGCCATGAGCAAGGGAGGGCCTAATTAAAGGGAGTTAATTGGAATTCCATGCCTATGTGTGGACTGACGATGCAGCAGACAGGAAATATTACAGTGAGTGCACTCACCAGAGACCTCACAAACACCCTTCAGCTAAACACACACACAAGCACTTCACAACAACACCACCAAACTCATGCTTACGCCTGATCTTTCTCAGGTCTCAATACCCAGACTGGCCAATTTGTGATTTTTTGTGTGTTTGTACTTTGTGTGTGTACCTGTCTGTAAAGGAAGTCTGTCTCTCGCTGGAGCTGTGTTGTGTTGTGTTTGTTCTTCTCCATCATTTCTTCTCTCTGTTTCAGGATCTCCTGAAGTCTGCTCACCTCCTTCTGCAGGGCCACGACCTCCTCTTCCCTAGACATGACCTGCTGCATCTGCTCTGCCAGCTAAACACGCCACAGTCAAACAAATGACAATATTAACTGTAAGTTTATGGTAAAGCAAGATGGCTATTTTGATCATATTTTATATTGTGTGTGGGGAATAATTAAGATTCTTAAATGCTTTTGAAATAAGTCTCTTATGCTCCCCAAGGCTGCATTTATTTGATAAAAAATAAAGTAAAAATAATAGAAATAACATTACAATTAAAAACAACTTTTCGAATACATTTTAAAATGTTGTTTATTCTTGTGATGGTAAAGCTGAATTTTCAGCTGCTCTTATTCCAGTCATCAGTATCACATGATTCTTCAGAAATCATTCTTATTGTCAAAGCTGAAAACCTTTTTTAAGCTGCTAAATATTTTTGTGGAAACCATGTACATATTTTAGGATTCTTTGATGAGTAGAAAGTTCATTTGAGATAGATATCATTTGTAACAATATAAATGTTTTACTGTCACTTTTGATCAATTTCATGTGTCCTTTTTGAATAAAAGTACTATTAATTTAATTTAATTTCTAGGAAAATATTAAACAACATATTAAATATGAAACTGCTTTGAACCTTGATAATAATGAAAATTCAGCTTTGACATCATAGGAATACATCACATTTTAAAATATATTAAAATAGGAAACACTTAATGTAAATGGTTTTACTATGGTTTTCACCCATGGATTAGGGAAAGATATGTGGAATTTAGCTCAGTGGAAACTGTTACTCCACAAAACAGGTTTCCACTGCTCCAGAGTCCAGTGGCGGCATGCTTTACACCACTCCATCTGATGCTTGGCATTGTATTTGTTAATGTGAGGCTTGCATGCAGCTGTTTGGCCATGGAAACCCATTCCACGAAGATCCCTCTGCAGTTTTTAGTTTTTTTGCTGATATTAAGGTCAGTGGAAGTTTGGAAATCTTCAACCATTGAAATAAGCAGAGCGTTAGTGACTTTTACACACCATGTGCCTCAGCACTAAGCGACACCACTCTGTGTTTCACAAACTGACTAACTGCAATGGTGGCATCCCATTTTGCAAATGCAGACTGCATGCTTAGATGCTTGATCTTATACACCAATGGCAGTGGTTCTAACTGAAACACCTGAATTCAATAATTAAGAGGTGTGTTCCAATACGTTTGTTCATATAGTGTGTATATACAGGCAAAAGAGCAGGAAAGGAATGGGCAGAAAAAGCAGGAGAGCACAGAGGCCTGAGGGAATTTAGCATGAAACACAGCTGTGGCACAGAGGTGTGATATATAAGGTCTATCAAACTTCATTAAATGTTTAGCTATAATCCTGCACCATCACACTTATAGTGCAAAGTTTTTTCAGATGGAGAACTCTCTTTCTTTTTCTCTCTGTGTCTGTCTCTCCTGTCTCTTCAGCCATCTGCTCGGATTAAAATGACATCTCCCCACATGAAGCAGTTCCTAACAAACCTGATGTGCAGGATGGAGGGAGAGCAGATTGAGGTGTGGAGGTGGTGGTGGGGATTGGGGGCTGGATGTGCCCTTCAGCAAAAATGAATTTTCCAATTGCAGTTAGTTCTGCCATGAATAAATAAACAAATGAATAATTGAGAGAGCAACATAAATAAATAACATCACAAACATTTCACAGGCACTCATAAGTTCGGAAGATAACTGGGGCTGAATGCTAATGACAAAAACAGTACAAGGAGCAGAATCCAATGCATTATTCACCGCTTGCTCGCTCGGAAAAAAGGCAAAATAAATTAATAAATATGAAAAAGAAAATCTCTCAAAGAACTCAAAACACCCAGTCAGCACTGAAGTGACAGGTTTGTCCCATTTATAACTTACAAGGACATTCTGCCAAACAAATAACTGACCAGTCAGAGATGTATAAATAAACCAGAACAGCTTCTAGTTCAATTGACAGGTTATGCAAAAGTTTGGCTGCGAGCAGGAGACGGGCTGGGCGTCAGCTCCATCTTTATTCTTCTGAGTGTGTGAGTGAGAGCGGATGGACTGGACGGCCCGCGTCCTTGATCCTACCCGCATTCGGCCCACGGAGACCTTTAGATGCAGTCTTCTAGAGTTATATATGTACCTGAGCTAAACAAGTAAATACTGATATGATCAAGGTGAAATGAAACAATGTTTACAAGCTCGGCTACTGTTTCTACCACAGATACTTAATGGAGGTTAAGCTGCAAAACCCTTGGCTTACAGCATGACTGACCAAGTTTACTCAATGTAAAAAAAGCATTTTTTCAATGTGTCAAAATTCAAAGATTATTTGAATTTTATCAATTTATCAGTTAATGAAATTTGTTTGTTTTTTACTGTGAATTTAAGTTAAGTCTGTAAAACCTAAAATGGTGCTACCATATTTTTTTATGGTAAAGTTCTGGCAACCACAGCTGCTGGTATTTTACTGTAAATGTCACTTTTTTTCTTTTACAGTGTTGCAAAATATTTCAAAAAAATCTGTATATCCTAATCTAAAAATCACACTTTCCAAACATTTTAAGCACTGTTTTCAACACTGTTAATAATAAGAAATGTTTCTTGAGCAGCAAATCAAACTATTAGAATGATTTCTGAGGGATCATGTTACACTGAAGACTGGAGTAACGATGCAGGAAATTCAGCTTTGCATCACAAGAATAAATTACATTTTAAATACAGAGTTCTGGCATGAAACTCTAGATGGCACAGTCCGATAGGTCTAACTCAGTCTGACCTAATGACATCATTATCACATGGCACAGCTGATTGGTTGTCTCCTGTATTGGTAGCCAATGAGCTCGCTGCTCAACATTCAAATGTATGACTAGTGCTTGCTGTAGCAGTTGCAGCTTGCTTCCCAAACCCTCCACCTTCCCCAGCTCCACCTGTATAGGTCTGCTATGAGGTGATTCATGTATGCTATATGGGGGTTATTTCATGTATGTTATATTTGCAGTAGCAATATTTCTTACATGCTCACAGCAGCATGTTGTGGATGTATTGGCAGTAGCAAGTCTCTGTACTTGCTCTGCCACAGCAGCAGCAGCAGCGTAGCAGATCTATTCCGCCAAGACCAAATACATTAACATTGTCATGTACATTACCATGTCAATCCCTCCAAGAGTTGTCGTGACAAAAATTATATTCAAATAGAAAACAGTTCTTTTTAACTGAAATACAGTTCCATAAAAGCATTTTTGTGAGCATTATAGACTTGACGCTAAAAAATCTGAACCCAAGCTTTTCAATAATGATGTTTAGACCGATACCTGTCAAAAGGTGAGCAAAATGATTGACAGGTGATCCTCACCTCCTCTTGTGCAGCGGTCAGATTCTCCTGAGCGGCCCGCAGGTCTGCCGTCAGTCTCAGAACTGTCTCATCTCTACTGGACATCTACCACACACACAGCTTTTACTCTACATGAACCCTTACCAGACACTATCAAAGATACCAAAGTATGTGGTGCGGTGTACCTCATCCTGCTCTGTGAGCTGCCTGCAGTCTTTCTGCTGGATGTCACAGTTCAGCTCAGCTACTCTGGAGCCCAGGAGATCCCTCTGATGTTCTGCTTCCTGTAGCTCACGGTGTAGCCTGGAGACAGTGGACTGTTCTTCCACCAGCTGTCCAAACACATGCACAGAAACAGAGATGCAAAATTTCTTAATATAGGTCAAGTTGCATCATGCCGGTCAATGGATGTGTTTATAGATGTGCAGATCATGGAGGCTGGAGAGGGGGTAGCAGGTGGTGTATTGATGCGGATCAGTCTTAAACTCAGTCCATCTCTGATCTAGACCTGCTTGCTGCTTGTATATTCCAATTGAGCAGCAGACTACTGGATAAACAATCAATAAAGCTGGAGCAAAACTGATAAAAGCAAAACACGAAAAGGCACGGTGGTGAAAACAATTAAATTTTAGAAACTGCGAAGTACTTTCTCGCATTGTAAATGGCCTAAACTTCCTGTTTCAACATAGGAAAGAAAACACTTGTCAAGCTGATCATGGGGTTATTAACACTGGTTAGCTGCTGTCAAACCTTAGCAATGGCAAAATGGTAAACAGCTATGGTTAACATCTAATAACCAATGTCTGCCTTACAGAAAATCAGGGACTGGATGACTGTTGTGCATTTGATATTCATGAGCCAAGATGATTAGTTGCCCCTCCACAATTTTCAGATTCATACACCCTTGTGAAAAGGTATAAACTCTGCATCAAAACCTAGGGAGATGCCTATAATATCGATCTGAAATATTGATTACAAATATAAATAATTCATGTAACGCTGAACATGCATGAAAAGAATAAATAAATTCAATTTCGCCTAAAATATTTATATATACTGTATGTATATACACGCGCATTCTTTATTATAAAATTTTATTCAGCCAGGATGCACTGAATTTACAAAAAGTGACAGTACAGACACTGTTGCAAAAGACCTTTTGACCTTTCTATTCATCAAATAATGGTGAAAAATGAAAGTAAATCTTAGTTTCTGGAAAAATATTTTCTAAATTGATAATAATCAGAAATTTTTCTTTGCATCACAGGAATAAATGACATTTTGCAATACATTCAAACAGAAAATAGTTATATGAAATTATAATAATATTTATGTCAACTATATAATTACAACAATATTACTGTGTAATAATGTGTGTGTGAAGAACTGTAGTTTGCTGCTCATGTCCTTGCGGTCCAGTTTCCTGGCTCAAATCTTGCAGTTTGTCCTCACATTGACCCATCTGACAGACCCTGAGCAGGCGTCAGTTAAAAACAGCAGGGTTCAATCCAATAAAAACAAAGAAAGGAAAACAAACAAAAATCATCTTCTGTTTCTATATAAAGACAGTACTGGAATATGAAGTTCCATCATTTCTGTGCTCTATGCATCCTGGAAGCAGGGCAAATTGCCGATTTAAGGAAATGGTTAAATTTTTAGGGAGCGAGCAGCAGCCTATCTCATATTAAATGGCAAATTGGATAACGTGGGCTCAAATCACTTCGTCTGTTATTATTGGAAATGATTGTGGATTACACATAATTATCTGCTAAAGTACCATTCCCCCCTTTATTCCAAACACAATGATCCTACTTCAAATAAAACATGATTCTAGCATATTTCTGTATGTGGATGTAGGATATAAAGCAGTCTAATCAAATTGCCTATAGTAATCATAAAGGAAGACACAACACAACACAAATTGAAGTAGCAGGGGTCCTTGAAATATTTTGTAAGAATTTGGGCTGGACCAGTTTTAAGGGTTGGTATTTAGGGTCATGTGAAGGACAAGTGACCTTGATCTTGAATTTAGTTTTTACTCATTTATTCATTTATTTATTTTTTTATGTTAGAATACAGTCTTAACCCAGTTTATTGGTCATTGACTACTGTAAGTATGCAATTTGTGTTTATTTCCTCCAAAAATCTGCACATTGAGCCTCCCAGGAACCAGCAAATGATTTAGAGCTGTCTGCTCAGATCTGTCAATCTCTTTCCAGCTCAACCAATAGCAAGAGTTTGGGGGCGTGGCTACTGTAGCAGACTGAGAACATTGCATGGGAAAAGAAATTCAGATATGGTTATTGAAGTGCAAGCCAAAATTCTAAAACTTCTCAAAATACGCTGAAACAGACAACGTCGTAAAACAAGGGTAAACACTGGCAATGCTTTTACATGATGGAGGAATTCGATGGAATGTTTGGCTTTCCACTGAGAAGTTTTTCCACAGTTAGCTCTTTACTGTCGAGCCCCAGATAAAAAAAGTAAGCTATTGTAAGGATAAGAATAATCTTAAGGATGTGGCGATTGTAAGGGGCATTGACAAAGGTTGTTTGAAAATATTCTTTAGATTTGTAATTCCGCTAGTAGTGCAGAAACTGCATATTGCACTTTTAAATATTACTCAGTAAAATTATGGATAGAATTATTTGATAGTATAACACTTAAATCATTATGTAATGGAAGAAGAAACAAATCTTTTCCATATTGTGACAAACATCTGAGTGAAATGGATTACGCAGGGTGGGGACTTGGTTCTCTCCACTGGCTGTTGATTGGATGGAAGCAGATCTGAATGCAAGTTTGCAGTCAATTAGAAGAAAGGGGCATGGTTTAAATGTATGAAATGATTGAAGTCTGGCAAACGTCATAAGAGACAAGTCTGCCGTTTCACTGGACAATCAAGTTATGAAATTTTAATTATAATGATGATATAAAAAACATTAATATTAACATGCAAACTAAACAAACTAAATGGAGTATCAGGCATAGTTTAATAAATTAAATCTCTTACTTACTGGTAATCAAAAATGTACTGTTTTTCTTCCGTTTCTTTCCTCTATTAAAGTGCAAAGATATTTTGTGTAGGTGCAAACTGATGATTAAAAACCCTGTGCTCATATACACTAAATGTATTATTGTGAGTAAAAGTGTGTGTGGAGGGAAGGGGCGTAGCTCAAAAAGCTAATTTCCTGTACTGGTCTCATCTCCTATACTGTTGATTGCACACTAGTGTGGAGCTCAGCTTAATTGGCCCCCAGTGTGCTGATGTGTGAATGAGGAGAGGCCACGGGGTCAAAGTCAGGAGACCTATTGACCTCTAGCCATCCACACGCACCCTGTTCTTCCTCATTTATCTCCTTCCAGTTTTTACACCAGTCCCTATCTTCTAACAGCTCTTCACTTCCCCCCATTCTTTATGTCTTTATATCTATAACCTCCCTGTCTCATCTTCTTAATTTTCCTTCTTATATTTTTCCTAGTATTTTAACAGGTTAAAGCATGCAATTAATTAAATATGTTTAAAACTGTCACAGATCGTGTGGAGAGATGAGGCGAGGACTCAAATGCAGGAAGATAAAGGCATTTATTAATAGTAAAAAATAAACAAAACTACAACAAATACTACCCCGAGGGGGAAGAACAGCCAGGCAGGCCAAGACAGAGCAAGGCAAGAGGAACATACACACATCTGACAATATTCTGAGACATAACATTAAAAAACGAACCAGCACAGGACTGCAGACACAAGGAGAATAAATAGGGAGACAAATGAGGAGGGTAACGAGGGAGACACAGGTGGAGTAACTAAAACACTAATGAGATAACAAGAAGGGAGGGGAACCTGTGGAGCTGAAGCCCTCCAGGGCGGAGATGAAGTCCACCACAGCAGAGAGCTGGCATTACTGAAAATCCCCATGGCAGAGCAGATGACCACCACAGCAAAGCAGATGGGAAAGAGGGCCACCATGCTGGATCAGGTGGAGTTAGAGACCACCACATTGGTGCAGGTGAGGCTGAAGACCACCCCGGTGGTGCTGCAGACCACCACGGCAGCGCAGGCAGAGCTCCTGACCACCACGGCTGAGCAGATCCCCGGACCGGAGTAAGCTCTGGAGTGGAACAGGTTCTTGAGCGGATTCTGACGGTTCCTGGACTGGAGCAGGTTCTGGAGTGAACTCAGAGAGCTCCTGGACTGAAGCGGACTCTGGAGGGGACTCTGAGGGTTCCCGGACTGGAGTGGGCTCTGGGGGCTCCTGGACTGGACTCTAAGGGGTCCTGGACTGGAGTGGGTTCTGAAGCGGATTCTGAGGGCTCCTGGACTGGAGCAGACTCTGGCAGGGCAAGGAACTTGGGTGGCGCCGGCAGGGTAAGGAGCTTGGGAGGTGCCGGCAGGGCAAGGAGTCTGGGCGGCGACAGCAGGGCAAGTCATATGGGGGGAGCCGGCATCAAGGGTAGAGCCGGCAGGGCAAGAAGCTTGGGTGGCTCTGGGACGGCCTTGAAGGACTCTGCTTCCGAGAGTGTGGCACTGCAGCTTCATCGGCTGCCTCCAGGGGCACTGAAGCCTCTTTGGCCACCACCGGGGGTGCTGCAGCTTCGTCGGCTGCCTCTGGGGGCACTGCAACCTCTTCGGCCACCACCGGCTGCCTCTAGGGGTGGCGAGGTGAACCCATTATTCCTCCTCCATTTGCAAGCGCGGGGCACTGCAGCATCGTCAGCTGCCTCTGGGGGTGCTGCAGCTTTGTCAGCCACCTCTGGGGACACTGCAGCCTCATCAGGCACCGCTGGGAGTGTTGCAGCCTCCAGGCCGCCACTGGGGTAGCTGCAGCCTCCTTGGCTGGAGGGTTCCCCTGACGAGCTAGGTAGTTTACGAACCCCACAAACGTCAGGTGATCCAGCCCTTTCATCCTCCACCAATTGAGGGGCTTATCAAGGGCATAATTCAGAAGGTCCTTGAGAGCCACCTCGTTGTAGTCCAGCCCCTCCACAACACTCTTGAACTCCATTGCGAATTCCCTTATGTCAGTCCCCCTTTGACGGAGGGAACTCAACCTTAAGCATGCCTTGGTAGAGGGGGCTGCAGATAGTGGAGGCTGGTAGATGGGGTGACCCCATCTTCCGCTGAGTCCTCAGTTGACTGGTTCATTCTGGTTCAACAAATAGGGAGACAAACGAGGAGGGTATGAGGGAGACACAGGTGGAGTAACAAAAACACTAATGAGATAACAAAAGGGCGGGGTTAGACAATAGACAGGAGCCAACTAGGGCACACCAGCAGAACTGTGACAAACACCCTTCTATTTATATATATTTAATATAAAATGATAACGGCTTCATTCTGATTGTATGATTTCAAACTGTTTAGACTAATCACACATGCATAGTAACAGAGCTTCTGTTAAATATGTGAATCGATTGACTCTAATTTTGACCTTTGACCTTTATCCTTTAATTCTAGTGTTTTGTCCTCTGTCCTCACCGCAGTACGAAGTTTATCCACATCATCCTGCAGGCTGCGGTTCTTCTCCTGCTGTATTTCCAGGCTGTCCTGGGCCTGCTGGAGCTGTGTGTGAGGCTCTCTGAGAGGGAGTACCAGCGCTCTTTCCATTCCTTAAGCTCTTTCTCCTTCTGGTCAAATCCAGCCTTTTCCAGCTCTTTCTGCAGCCCTGCAATTAGTTCTTCTTGATGCCTGACCTACGCACAGATGTAAAGGAAGCTTCAAACATGCATGTACAGTGTCCACAAAACATATTTTGACAATTTAGCCAAATGCATAAATGTTATTGGATTAGATATGAAAATATCAAACCAAGTGCCATTTATTTTAACCCTATTAAGGATACTGTATCATATTTGAAATACAAATTTCTAAGGCCTACAAATTATTAACATGATCAAAATACTCCACCTTCAGGTTGTGGTACACTTGTTTTTTGTTTTTGTCTTTTGCTGTGAAATGTTTTGAAATGTAATTTTTATGAAGTAAACATAAGAATAACTTTTTATTGTTAGTAATATTTCAAGATAAACACTTGACTGAAGTAGTAACTTAGGTTCACTTGATTATCCATACATTATTATTATTATTATTATTATTATTATTTATATTGTGTTAAAATATGAGTATCAAACATGAGTCATCAGGCTTTTGATGAACAATGAACATTTATTTGCACATCTGTCAGTCATTACTGTATGGCACTGCATTATATGTTTGAAGCTACAGAGTTTTGATCATAAAACTAAGCATTTAAATATCATTTGACTAAGACATTTTTGGGAGACATCGAGTGACAACTTATATTTATATGAATTTGATATCAGAATTTCATCTTTCTTTGGCTATATGTAAATATCGGCTCCTGCACTAAAATGCATATTTTTGCTGTTTTTTTTTAGACTGTAGACTGACTTGTTGTCTCCAGTTTAGAAGCATATCTACTCTGTTTGAGCTTTGGTCCAGTTACGTTTGCTGAGACATTGAGTGCTCAAGTGAGAAACTCAAGTTTGAATTTGGCTTGCAACATTTCCTGATATCGTCGATCTCCGCCATCATTTTCTGTCCTATCTCTCACTGTACACACACATAAAAGTAGCAAGAAAGCCAATAAACTGAGCTGAAGATATATCAAGAACATATACAGCATGACCATCACAGCTTTAGTCACAAATATATATGCAGAAGCCTTAGTAAGACATTCTATATTTATAAAAATCTTTTAATGAATGTTGCATCACACGAGGAGGCCCATACACATACACAGAAGTTAGTTTAGAAGTGACCTTGTCCATCAACTCTTAAACATACCATCTAGAATCTTTAAATGAGTTTTCCCAGACATTGTCTCAAAGAGCTGTGCTTTTTTTATGAACCGATGGACTCCTGTGGTGAAAGGCTCAGCTCATAAAAGTCCATGCGAATGAAATGAGCGTAAGTAAGTGTGAACATATACTGTGGCGGGCACCTCGGTGGACCCCTATATTAATCAAGCTGTCTGCACTCTGTTTGGAAAGTAATCTTGTCCGAGGAGCAGAGGAAAACGCAGTGGTAAATGGCAGTTGGTCGCACTTTGAAGCAGCTGCTTTACAGAGGTCTCAAAGCTCATGGAGGCCACACTGTAAAAACAAGAGCATCTGAGCGCTCGCCCTCAGGTTACCCTCACCCAAACACGGGTCCAGCCTACCTAAAGCCAAAAGTATGCTTCTCTTATCCGCATTTTCTCCAACTCCACTGTCTGTGACATTCACAGTCTGTCCGACTTGTGTGTGGACAGTAACACAAGTGATTTGAGTGATTAAAAAGAAAGCTCCACTAGATGGGCCAAATGTATCCATTTGAACGTTTGAATGTATCCGTAGAACGTTGCAAATAAAACATAGTTCACCCAAAAATGAAAATTCTCTCATAAATTACTCACCCTCATGTCGTTCTAAACCTGTACGACCTCTGTTCATCTTCAGAACACAAATTAAGATATTTTTGATGCATTCTGAGAGCTCTCTGACCCTTCCATAGACAGCAATGTAATTACCACGATCAAGGTCCAGAAATGTAGCAAGGAGATCTGTAAAATAATCAATGTGACATCAGGGGTTCAACTGTAATTTAAAAAAGTTACAAGAATACTTTTTGTATGCAAAGAAAACAAAAATAACAGCTTTATTTAACAATTCGTCTCCTCCGCATCATCCTAGCGCCATTTTGGAGAGTATCCGCTGAACGTAAACGGCGTATGCTGTTCTGTGTCAGCTGCGCCATATGTTTTCTACATCATTTATGCTTTGATCTGAACGAAAACAGCGTATCCGCGTGACACAGCTGACACAGAACAGCATACGCTGTTTACATTCAGTGGATACTCTCCAAAATGGCACCAGGGTGACGCGGAGGAGACGAAATGTTGACACACACACACACACACACATATACATATATATATATATACACACACACATTAATAATAATAACAACAACAACAACAACAACAACAATATATATATATATATATATATATATATATTAGTATATATATTTATATTTACAGTATAAATAAACATATAGTTGCCTTTATATTTTAGGAAGAGAGACCTTCTTGACTAGTTGTTTTAGAAAATATGTAGTTTTGCAGTTTTTCAATAGTGGCCTGTTAAGCTGGCGTCAGCTTTAGCTCCTGATGCTGAGATCAGGCCCCTGCAGCACATTAACATTAGATTTTATTTTAGGGCCAGTCATAATATTAGATGTTGTTTTGATCACTGGTGATTGTGTAGGCGTGCGCGTGGGGTCTCGGTGTTAAGTGTCTAACACGTGCGGCTGCAGCTCTAATTCAAACTATGGCAAGGTTATGACTGGCACTTAACTGCAGCGAGGAAAGCATTGCTTAGAAGCTAATAAGCAGTGGATTGTTGAGAGACCTTGTCCTTGAGTTGCTCTTCTCTCAGTCGCTCCAGCTCCTCGGCCTTTACACAATCCTGCAGCAAAAGAGAGGGAGATATGAAGAGAACAGAGAGGTGCTGAGGGATGAATGTGTAAGAACAACAGGAAAATAAAATAAAGGAAATGCACAGTCCTTCAGAGTGTCCTGGAGAAGATACTCTACCTGATCATTCCTCCAGAGGTAAACTACAGGAGAATGCAACAATGGATTCTTGTTATATTGTGTGCATTGACTGATATCCTCTATTTATCTTATTCTTTTGTAGTGGAAAACAAAAGCAAGGTCTCATGCAAGGTGTGAGCGTTAATCACAAGCATTGAAACACACTGCACTTTATTTTCTGGGCATGTTTTATAAAACATGCTGTGATGATTGGTTTAGCAGATAACCAAAAATATAAACCCAAAACTAAGATACACAATGAAGCAATGAAACATGACAAAACAGAAGGCTGTCTTTATCTAGGCTACATAGCAAACTGGAACTATAACAAAACACAACATAATAGAAAGCTGCCATAAACAGTGTTCTTATAGGTTTGTGCTGTTGATTGTAGCAGACAGTGTACGATACTGACAAGATATCATACATTTGGAATGTTTTTACATTGTCCAGCGCTGCATTGTAACTAGAGTGTGCTTACATATACAAAACAACACAAAACACATACATACAAACAAACAAATAAAAAAGCCTTGAAATATCAATACTTAATTGTATCAATCAAACAAAATAATTTTAAAATGTAATAAAAAATGTATGAACTTAAATCATGATCAAACCATGATCAGATTAAAAGATGCCTTATATAACTGAGCAAAGTTTCATAATCAAATTCAATATTTACATCTCAGTACTACATTTTCTTCTTTCTTTTCTCCTCCCTTTTCTTCTTTCGAAATAATTTTAATATGACAGAAATTCAAAACTGAGATATAGCCTTGATTGGATTCAAGACCTTACGGGAAGCAAACAGAGAATGAAAGCTTTTCAACAGATGCTTGTAATGACGCTGCGTTCCTGCTCTCAGAATACTGAAACCATTAAAACTCAATCTACACTCTCAGGAAAAAAAAATTGTATCAAAGCTGTCAAATGTAGACTTTAGGTACTAATTAGTGCTGTCAAACGATTAATTGCATCCAAAATAAAAGTTGTTGTTTATATAATATATGTGTGTTTGCTGTGTAAATTTATTATGTATATATATAAATACACACACATGCATGTATACATTTCTAAAAAATATGTTATGTTTATATATTAAATAGATTTATATATAATATAAATTATATTAATATAAATATATACATGCAAATGCATGTACACATTTTCAAAATATATACTCTATGTGTGTGAATTTATATATATATATACTGTATATATATATATATACTGTATATATATATATATATATATATATATATATATATAT